AGTATTCTGTTAGAACTCAATGATTATCCTAATTATATTTTAGATTTTTTATATTTAAAATAAGATGTTTATCTTGTATTTGATTATGTTTATCTGTAATTAGTTACACGAATTCAGATATAATGCTTTAATAAGTTGTACTTACGCACAATCTACTTGTAATCTTGAGTTTTAAGTAATATGCATTAATAAACAGTACTTTACACATAAAAAGTAGTTTTTAAGAGTTTTTGTCAAATGCTTTATAATATAGTATAGATTTTTTTTATAATTTAATTTAAATTTAATAATGAAATAATTTATTTTTTGTTTAATAATATAACATTTTATAAAGATAATAATTAATTATTCTGTTAGAACTCAATAATTATCCTAATTATATTTTTAGATTTTTTATATTTAAAATCAGATGTTTATCCTGTATTTGATTGTGTTTATCTGCAGTTAGTTACACGAATTCAGATATGGAGCTTTAATAAGTTGTACCTACGCACAATTTACTTGTAATCTTGAGTTTTAAGTAATATGCATTAATAAACAGTACTTTACGCATAAAAGTGGTTTTTCAGAGTTTTTGTCAAATGATTTATAATATAGAATATTTTTTTATATATAATTTAATTTAAGTTTAATAATAAAACAATTTATCTTTGGTTTAATATTATAAATTTTATAAATATAATAATTAAGTATTCTGTTAGAACTCAATAATTATCCTAATTATATTTTAGATTTTTTTATATTTCAAATGAGATGTTTATATATCCTGTATTTGAGTGTATTTATCTGCAGTTAGTTATACGAATTCAGATATGGGATGAAATCGGATAGAGATTAAATCGACGAGTTTAAGAGATTAAGAGTTTTTAAGAATTTTAATCAAATGCTTTATAAGATGGTATAGATACCATAAAAATTATGAAAAATGGATAATTACATTACTGCCCTCAATGATTTATTTTTATTTACTATAATTTAAATTATGAGTTAATTAAGTTGGCGGCCTACAACTATTATCATATTTTCATATAACAGAGCTAGGGGTATGTATATATATCGAGCATGTTATATATGTTTAATCATCATGTAAAGATGTAACACAAAGTAGAGTGGCATGGATAACCAGATCATCCATATATATATACATATTGGATGGAGTAATGTTGGATTTATGTTTGAAAGACAATATTTAAGGGCATAAAATGAAGCTTTTATTCATGCATGCACAAAGGACATTTAATTATTAATATCTGAAAAATTAACAGGTTGAAATTATATTGATGGATAGAGCAGAATAGCGGTTAAAAAGAAACTTGGCCTTAGATGCTTCATCATATCATATCATATCATATCCACAGCTAGCCTTACGGCTCGCGTCCTCTATTACTTGGATTGGATATCACTTAATTTGATGACTCTGAATCAACCAACCATCCACATATATATATATATATATATATATATATATTGGATATATATCCATGGCTGCACCCAGTCCTTCAGTTCCCCAGCAGCTTAATTTTAATTTGTACAAGGATCGGACCCCAATGTTTTCAGCCATCAGAATCTGTCTCACGAAAAGGTAAAGGAACTGTTTTCACTGCTCTAAACCTCCCAACATTGTTCAAGTGCTCATTTTCCAGCCTGAATTGTAATATTTTTCATCAAACATATATATAATAATTAATCATGCATCAAACAGATCAATTAATTATTAAGGCAAAATTAATTAATTAGCAGAATTTAATTTATTGTACCTGTAGTAATTCCAATGCCCGCGTCGAATCACTTCTAGTGAAGCAAGGCAAAACTCAAGCAATCGTGATTCAAACAATCCAACTTTGAATTGTAACACAGTTTCCACCCAAGCCACCCTCAAAACAAAATTCAAGGCCTGCATGATTGCATATATATATATTTATTTATTTGGTATTTGATTCCAAAGAATTAATTAACAAGTGATTAATTATAATTAATACTTATTAACTCACAATAGCTATGTAGTAGAATCCTCTTTTCTTGAGGACAAGTTCATCTCTAAGCCACAGATTTTTGGATTTGGAATCAAGAAGTCCCCAATCCTTGACAAAGTCCCAATATAGCTGGTATATGGTAGCAATCAATGAAGTCACCAAAACAATGATCAACCACAAATGTGTTTCCTGTCTTGCATATGTTAACCGCGCCCCAGCTGCCACCATGGCTGACACATACTTCCCCAAGTTAGCCAAGTGATTCACATCACACTCGTCAAACCATCTCCTTGCACACTAATTATATATATGCATCATCATTCAAATATATAAGTAATTAGTAAGTATCCAATTTCATCAGGTGTTATGTATATATAAAGAGAGCGAAAATCAATATTTCTTAATTAAAGAATGTATAGATATAACTATGTACCTGCATAGCACGCCAGTAGTATGGTGCAAAAGAGATTACATAAGCAAGCTCCCGATATAACTTCCCTGACTTACAAGTCTGATATTCATGTGTTTTGAAACTCCCTGCAAGGAAGTAACATGCTGTTGATTCCATGTGCCTCAACAAGGGGATCTACAGCAACAAATATGTCCTCGTTAATATAAGTAATGATATATGCACCATATTAGTATATGTATAACACTACGTATACATACCTGGCTAGTAAGTTGATCAGCCATGAAGAAGTCTACCATCAAAACCTGTGTGTTCACGACATACACAATTTATAATCAATTATGCTGCCTGCCTTGACTAGTTAGAGTAAAAAGTTAACATTACTTGTTACTATATATATGATCATAGCTAGGTAGGTAAATCTTTAAGTACCTTATACAAAGGAGAGAAGACTATGTTGCGTATGACTCTAAGGAAGCAATAGCGAGTTGGACGATATAACATGTTTAATGGACATACAAGCAGACCGATGAAAATCTGAAAATCAAATGGGAGATTAATTAAAGGGGATTCAGATTATTTAAAAAACATATATATGTTGAATATTAATTGACATGTCAATTAACTTAATAATTTGGTAAACTTGTAGTAATAATAACTATTATTACATACCAAAAGGAGAATGCCTGGAATGGTGTCAACTTGGGTATGAGAAAATCCATTGGAAACCAAGATGAGATGTAGCACCATGGCAGAAACCACAGCAGTCATCATGCAGGTGCATATGAGAAATGCATCTCTGTACTTGAGTGCCGTAGCAGCTTGGAATTCGAATATGAAATGGTAGTTAATTCTTGTAGCCTTCCACAAGAAGAGGTTGCATCCATACATGAAAATGTGCAAGCTCAGCAATGCAAACATGCTGCATTTGATTCATATATATATACCGAAAGACAAATTAAAATGAGAGATGTTTTTAACCAGGCATGTGAAAAACCAATTAAGTTGTAGAATTTTGTGAACATAGATAGCTAGCTAACTAATATACCTGAAGACAGGATAGATAGTTTCAACGTAATCGGTTTCTGTACCAGGGGAGAACATGCCACTGATATGTGCCAATATTGCATATACAGTAAAGAGGGTTACGAAACTACCCGTAAACAATCCTGTTGCAATAACACAAATATCATTATCTAATTATATATTCGACCGATATTAATGTAGGCATATATAAAGCATATTGAAGGCCGCATGGATTATTGAGTTGTAAGTAGATAGAGTTGAATTTGTAGTTAGTAGAATACCAACAAAAAAGGTGACCATGTGAGAGTCTTTGTGTTGCCGGGGTCTCAAGAACTTCATGGCTTTTTTTCTGTCATCCTTTGCAAAGTGCTTAGTGAAAGATGACTCCACCTCGTCCATTAATCTTACCACCTGTGTGTGTATATATTCATATATAATTTCACGCAATTGATTATCAACAATTAATCTTTAATTACCACAGAATAACATGTTTGAAACATGTTACAACTTTAAAAAAGAAAAAATAAGCATGTAGATCCGGTCACTATATGTAGTGTATCTGTATGTACTTGCTTGGAATGATCAAACTCTTGAAAATTTATTATGTGGGTTAAAAATTAAATTTTGAAATAATTTTGTCAAGTATATATATATATGTACCTACCAATTATATATAACCGGATGGGAGCTCTTAGCTAAATCCATCATAAACACAACTAAATTGTAAAGGTTTTGGCTAAATTAAAAGAATAAATTTATTTTTAAATTAGAGTGATTTTGTAATTAAAGTATGGAAAGAATATGAACAAATGATGTTTTAATTAAAGAAAAGAATATGAACAAATTGGTTTACCTTATCAGAACTAATGAAATGAGATCTTTTGACGGCTTTGAGGTAAGTTGTCGATGACTGCTGATTAGATACCTATCCAATAAAATACAAAACACTAAAATTTATCAACTCAACTCAAGTAATTAATTAATTAATGCATCACAATATATATATATATATACATTCTCTTCTCTATGGGTTATATACAAAAACATAAGTTTTTTTTTTATCACATTACCTTGTCAAATTTCTTCAGTATTTTTACAAATGCCACCATATTTAATGAGCTGTCAAAAATATTCAAATTAATTAGAACATTTATATACTATAAATATAAATATATAGCTAGCTAATCACACCTTAATTAATTTTGAAGTTGTGTTTTAAACATGACAGACACCAAAATTTCTTAAAAGTTACAAATACATATGCATTTCATTTTCTGAATTTGACACAAGATATTTAAGGATCTGTTGCTGTTGGCTGCTGCTGAAACCATATAATTGTATTTTTCTTTTCTTTTAAAAAGCCAAAACAACGCTATCCTTTTCAAGCATATTTAATTAATTATTAGGTGAACATAACCAATTAATGATATATATATAAAATTAATTTGCAAACCAACAAACATAAGTCAAGTTACGTATCTATTTTGTAGGAGGTGGACATATATATATATATATATATACCTGTAAGTCTTGAGAAGACCAAGGCCTCTATAAAGTTCAACGAAGGCCCCTCTGATCATTTTTTCGGCACATTGGAGCTTCTTGCGATTAAGGAATTCACCACCACCGCCTTCTTTTTTGGGATTGTTTACAAGATCTTCCCATAGCATAGACGTAACTGCTGTTATGGTTCGTGTAGGTGTGGTTGCTGGAATATCAATCCTCATCCCCATCTTACCAGCTGCCTTTTTACTCTTTGCTGAACCAACAAGGTTGATACCGTTCTTTTCCAGAGCCGATATAACATCATCCGTCTGCTCTCCAAGGCTTTCACCAAACTCGGTAGGAGTTTCTACATGCAAAAAATGATCAAATCCATCTTCAATTTAAAAAAGGAAATACAATTAATGATTAATCCATTCGATCCTTTTTAACACACACATATTTAGCTGTAACTAGGCGTTAATTAATATCCTGGGATTTGCTTTTATTTTTGAAAATCCAAGGCTAGCTAGCTGTTAAAGGAAAGAAGAGAGAAAATAAAAAAAGGTAGATTAGTTACCGGAGTCAGAGTTGCGGGCAGATGAGGAGTAAGAGCGCAGGAATCCGGAGGAGTTAAGCCTTCTTGATCGTCTCCGGCAATCAAGAACTTGCTGGAGGTCCAATAAGATCTGGAGCTGTTTATTCAACATTTCTCCTCTCTCAAGGAACTCGCTTTCTTTATTCGAGTAAAACTGGTTCACCTTATCCAGCTCCTCATCCAATTTCTCAAAGAACACCTTCACCTAAAAATTTAATAATTAATTAATTAATTAATTAATGAAGGAATGCAGACAACAGAAACATAATTCATTTTGCTACCCATTTATTTAATTGATTAATAATTACCTCGTCTTCCTCAGAGTACAAATGATCAACAAGTTCAGTTTCATCTTCAGCTTCATCAGGTTCAGGTTCCGAAAGTGTATTTTTCACCTTCAACATGACACGTGGAATTACATATATATATATATATATATATAGATATGACATGATGTGTTTATCTTTTGAATCACGATGGTATCGTGAAAGGAGTAGCTAGCTAGTGATACAACCGTTTGTATTGGCTTTTAGTTCCCAAAAATAGACAATTTGATCTTTCACGATTATATATATACTATATGCCTTTGCAAACGCCATCTCACCGTATTTCAGTTTTGCTGCCTTTTATTAATTACGACACACAACAGACCTTCAACTCTATACATGGTTCATTAATTTCACACACAATTAATCAGTTTTCTTATAAAGTTATAATATATTGAAGATATATACATCTCTGAGTCGAAAACAATATTAAGGAACGTTAAAGTAATTACTTTTAACGAAAAATCTGGAAATAAATTAAATGAATGGGAATTTAAGTAAACTGAATAAACCCGGAGGTTTCATGCGTAACGTAACAAAACAAAACCAACAGCAGAAATGCAAAAAACATCTGGTTCCATGGTAAAAATGACAAGTGATGAAAAACTTAATTAATCATGAATGATGACACGAAAACCATGATGAAGACATGCACCAAAGTATTGATTTTCTTTTCCAACTTTAACAGTAGCTCGCAAGCATTACCATATATGGACGGATGATGTTTATTTGATTTCAACCAATTAATTAAACTTCAAATTAATTACATATATATATATATATATATAGTAACATTAATTAATCGATTCTTAATTAATTTCATGGATGAAACTACTTGCTGTACAACATATCTATCCATATATATACATACATACCTGAAGAATCTGACCTGCAGGTTGGTCATCGGTGGCATTACATGAAAGACGGGAGAAGAAAGAGCGAACGGGGTCGAACATGGAGAGGCCATAATCATGATTATAAGCAGTGGTCTGGGAAAGCTTAGATATTCTGGAGAGTTTAACCTTCTTAACATGTTTCTTGAGCTGCCAGTAGTTCACAAATGCATCTTTCCATTCAGGAATGAGTTGGGCCTGAAGCTGCTTAGAAAACTTCACCATTGTATGCTGATCTCCCTCTGGGCCGGTTCAGGAGAGAGAAAGAGGAAGTTGTTCAATGGGGGATGAGAATAGGGGAGTTTATAGATATAGAGGGAAAGATGGAGAGACAAATGTGTAGGTGGAAGAAAGATGGTTGAACAAGCAAAGGGTTGAAAGGCTTGCATCTATGAAACCCAAAAAGGGGAAATTTAGAAAATAAAAAGAAGAAGAAAAAGAAAAGAAGATGGCAGATGGATGAAGTGGAAATTTGTCTGCTCCCACGGCCCCCTTTTTCCTTTTTCCCTTCTCTCTTTTCTGTATTTGCTTTGCTTTGCTTTGCTTTATCAGAAATATGTTTGTATATTTGACAAGAATTACGAATGTGTATTTATACTATACCAATACCAACTCTAGCTATATATCTAACTATTTTTTAATTATCCAATTAATTAATGTAATATTAATTTGTAACTTCCATTCCATGGTAGCTTTAGATTTTGTAACTCCCATACTCTTTCATTTGTAACTCCCATATTACTACCTTCATTCTATCTACTCTCTAATATATAATATACTTGAATATATATATATATATATATATATATATATATATATTCATGTCGGTCAATTAATGGAGATTGGAAACCCCCTTTGACTTTCACTTTCATTATCTATATATATATATATGTGTTCTAAGAGCTCATCATTTGTGAAATTGGATTGGATTGGATCTGGACCGGATCTAACCAACGAGCTTAATATGACAAACTCATACGTATCTTTTTTACGGGATTAAATTAAAACTTGCCCTATAAATGGGCCGAGCTTGCCCACGGGCTAACAGACCTAAACATCTTTTGAAGAAAACAAACTTATCTATAGAAGTTAATTAATACAAAAATATTAGCAAATTTTTTTACATTGCCCGTGTTCACCTAGTAATTTTAACAAGTCAGTCCGGACCCATCCAAGAATGATAATCAAAGCCAGTTTTTCTAAATGACACCTCGCCCGTGAACAAATTTAATGGGTGCTCATTATTGAGTTATTATAATTAATGATGTACATGTCTCTTTTATCTTAATTATAAAATGTTGTAACGGAGCATTAGTATTAATGTAAAATTTGAGCTCAGAAGTTTCTAGATATGATGGCGTTTTTCTATATTTATAGCGGTTAAATATATATTATGAACCAACTTCGATTAATTAATTAAGCCTTGAAGCTTTTCCAGACAATAAAGAAGGTTGTATTAGACTTGTTATAATAAATTTTAATGATTAGTATACTATCTCATGATCTAAATCTTGTAGCTTGGGCCTTGGTGGTTGCTGCACTCGAATTATATGTCATTTCTTTATTCTTCCACTATATATGTAGCCTATAGTACTTGAAGTAAATGCTAATAAAATGATCCAACATCACCTAGCTAATTAATCAACATAAAGTAAAAGCACAACAAAATTTATAGGAATGAAACTAAAACAACAATGCTAATATGCTATACACACGTACACATATAATAATATATATATATATATATATATATATATATATGTAGAGATGGAGATTCAAACGACAACACCTGCAATTTACAAGAACGTATTGAATGAAGCCCATTGATCCGAATGAAAAAATAAAAGCCAGACCCTATATATTCATTTTAACTTTTGGCTTTTTTTACCTCATTATTTAATTTTGTTTTCGAATAGATGATGGAGTCGTAACACACCAATAAACTAACCTTCTTTTCCCCCTTTTGTTTCTAGATACCAAGATTGATTTCAATATATACTTGAAAGTTATACAACATTGTTAGGTTAAGACTGTGTAAGAAGATGTGTGAACACAAATGAATCAAAAGCTTAAAAAGTCATGTTCTTACATCAACTCATTTATAATGAATTGAAGTATAGTCTAAATTAAAGATGAAAAAAGAATCCGGAAGACGTGGAGAGTGAAATTATGATGATCAGTCAAACTTCATTAGCAAGAATTTAATTAGGATGATGGAATTAATCCAACTATATATATATATATATATATATATATAATGTTACCACCATTTCTCTTTTTCTTCTGCTCATTATTTACCATATAAGTTTTTCCAGGCCTACGTTTCATTCACCACATTTTGCATGTGTGCATCAAATACTCTCTCTCTCCCTCCCTCCCTCCCTCCCTCCTAAAGAAATATATATAAACATCGTAGCGAGTTTTTTAATTGGTTTTTCATTCACTTTTTTTATGAATAAAATTGTTTGTCTAGATTGAGAATATTTTGTTTGAAAGAGCTTCTTCATGGACGGAAGAAGGAGCGTGTAACACCTCTACTTTCGTCAAAGAGATGCCACATCTTACACACTCTAATCTACCAAAAAAAAACTTCCATAATATAATGTCATAGACAAAAAAGAAAAAAAACAAGTAAACTCCAAACTAAAGCGGAAAACTCAAAATCTAAATCAACTTCTCCTACCTTGGTTCGTTCCATACCAAACTAGGTTAGAAATCTAAATAAATATAAAAGTTTAAACCATGATTAAATTACTTAAATCAAAGCCGGTCCCTTGCCTTTGTCCACACCAGAACCTTCCGCTCCTGAGATGCATGCGAATAGTCAGCTAAAAGCTTAGCAAGTTCATAGTTTTCGTGCATAAAAATCACTCATTATCAAACAAATGATTATTCAACACCAAGAAAAGAAATAGATATCATGTATTTAAATCGAACACGTTTAACGTCGATTAAGTTAGTAAATCTCCCCAACTTGTTTTAGTACGGTAAGGGATTACATTACCTCGCCTTGTGATCTCCTTTATTTGGCTCTGATGGACCCGACCCACATCCGACCATTCTCCTTCACGGGACAACCCGTTTGTCTTACTGGCATGCCGGTTGTAATCCAACACACACTAATTAAGATTCGTTTCACAAATCACCAAAATCGAATTTTTAACATGGCATGCTAGCAATTTTAAAGTAATTAAATAATAGCATGCAAAACACCAAAGCACCTTATACAAGTCATGGAAGCAACAATAATATGTAAATAACTGGAAAAAAAAGGCATGCGTATCGATAATATTTTTTTTTCATCAAATGAAACATGCTGTAAAATAATATAAAAGATACGTATGCATACATCCTAGGGTAAATCATATGAAACCTCACATGATTGCGTAGATCGGCTAGTATTAGCGTCTGTCTAGCGACCTACAAGTTACACACCACATCTCATTAATGACCCAACTCGCCAAAATTCAACTATTGGTTAAGTACGACTTAACCCCACGAGCCTATAAGGCTATCTACGTCTTGTAATTATAGACTTGACATTTTATACATATTTAGTTCTCCGCACCAAATTAAAGTGCTCAAACGATATTTAATCTTGATTGCGGCACGTTAAATGAATTGATAAATCTTACCATTAACTACGTTATTTAATAAGGATACCTCCTAAAATTAAGTAATTAAAAGGAATTACATTATATATATATATATATATAGAGAGAGAGAGAGAGAGAGAGAGGATGTTTACTTTACAAACCAAGTTATTTGTACAAACCGTACAAGCCTYATTCAACCAATCATAATTTTTTATTTTGTTAATTTTTTTGTAATTATGAGAGGTTGATTAATTATTTTTATTGTGGAGGGTGTTAATCATGAATATTATCATCTTCATTATTTTAATTTTATAAAATACATTAAACAGTTTCATTAAAATCTTATGAAGTATTATATGAAACAATTTCATAATCATATATGAAACAACTTCATCAAAAAAAATTATATGAAACAATTTTACAAGATTAAACAATTTCATGAAGTTTTTTCATAAAATTAAACAATGAAATCGACGGATGAGGGTGGTTTACATGGTTTGTACAATTTAAGTGGTTTGCATTTGATCGATCCTCTCTCTCTCTCTCTCGCTCTCTCTCTCTCTCTCTCTCTCTCTCTCTCTCTATATATATATATATATATATAGGGGAACGTTCAAATAAAAATCACTCAATTTGTAAAAACCGTGAAAACTTCATTCAAACAATCATAATTTTTTATTTTGTTCATTTGTTTTGTAATTATGAGAGGTTGATTAACCATTTTTATTGTGTAGGGTGTTAATCATAATCTTAATTATTTTATTTTTAGAGAAATACATGAAACAGTTTCATTAAAATTTCATTAAATATTATATGAAACAATTTCATAACCATATATGAAACAAATTAATCAAAAAAAGTATTATATGAAACAATTTCACAAGATTAAACAATTTCATGAAATTTTTTCATAAGATTAAACAATGAAATCGACGTATGAGGGTGGTTTGTACGGTTTTTACAAATGGTGGTAGTTTTTATTTGATCGCTCCTCTATAGGGGCAGGTTCAAATGAAAACCATGCAATTTTAAAAAACCGTGTAAACCAATTTCGACCAATAGAAAAATTTTATTTTTTTAATTAAATTTAATCAATAAGGGTATTTCGGTCATTTTTCATATTTTTTTGATAAATAAGGAAGTTATTAATAAATATTAAATAAGGAAATTTAATAATGCAAATTATATAAATGATAATATTTAAAAATTTTATTATATTATAATATTAAAAMCTTGATTTTAATTTTTTGTTATTCAATGAATCTGGAAACGTGGTATGAAGATTCTAGCTTCTTATGGAATGAAATCTTGATTTGAGGTTGGAGGAAAAAAATCATCCATGTTCATGAAACTGTTTTAATGTGAAAAGGTTTCGTTGTAAAATGGTTTATTTGCTTCTTCTAGGCATATTTTACATGTTAATGAAATAAGTTCATGATGGTGAAAATGTTGATGCTCTAATTGATTCATGATCTAATTTCTTGGTGATCCATGTTGCTTTGTGATTGAAGTTGATCTGTTTAGTTAGTAGGATGAAAATGAAACGGGTGCATAATGTATTTTGTTCTTTATGAAATAAATGTATGATGAAACAGGTGCATATTATATTTTGTTCTTTATGAAATAAATGTATGATGAAACAGGTGCATATTATATTTTGTTCTTTATGAAATT